TACTACAACAGTACCATGCCGTCATATGATTCCGTGGTACTTACGTTTCCGTGGTATTTTCTAATGACATAATTTCTCACGAGCCACTCGCCAAATCGCGCCACCTATTGATTGTTTACGTTCATCAGTTGATCGGCACGGGTCTGAACAAGAAATGTTCCGACTTTCATCAATTTGCGTACGTACAGTCATCTACTATTAAAAACTAATGCAACTTTGTCTAGCACGTAATGCATTTTTTGTGCGATCTTTGCAAACATATTCTATAAACTTACTCAGCTTCAAAGTTTTCCAAACATCGCTCGTCTGCTAGCTGATGTCATCAATAAAAACAATCACGTGACCTAAGGGGGGAATCCCAGCTCTATTTTTTAAACTATAGAAGCCCGATAGGGTCATCTCTTAAGTTGTTTTTTCACTTTTCATTTCATGTATCCCGTATCAACTCTACATATTCCATGAACTGGAAATTTGTGCTGAAGAAATGTGACTATATTGTGTAAATTCCACAAAATCGTTTACTGTATTACAATTTATCAACTTCGATATTACTGTAAACCTACATTGACACTCCCGGATTGGCTGTTGACAATGTGTGAGATTGTGACATGTGCTGTGCGCCCTTAATATTTGATCTGAAGGAAATACCACGGAAACATATGACGTCACCAGAGTTTGTGCACAATGGCCGCCTGTCGTCCGATACGGACAACAATGAACTTCAGAATGACAAAAGTGTTTTATTGACATTAAATGATACAAAGGTATGTCGTCTAACACTATATTATGTTTATATGACTTGGCAATATGAGCGATCATATTCATAGTCGTAAATTTCTTAATACCATGGAAACCCATGACGCGAGGGTACTAGATGCAGTTATACTCCAGTTGATAGACCACAAGCTAATCCAGTCGCAAGAGAGAATTAAAAACTTCTTTAGTGAAAACAGCGGAGTGTGACAAAACGTGGGACAGAGTTTTGCCAGAAATTGTGTTAGCACACATTTTGTAGTTAAATCGCACGGCGGATTTCGCCCCATATTTTGTTATATTTGGTCGTAACAGTTTGATTCATCAGTTGGTGTCAGACAATGTTTCTTCTGTGGGGGGGGAGATGGATAGCTGTGTAGAGGTTTGGGATATGTGTGTCAAATACCATACGCCAGCTAAATTACATCAGGAGCAGACATCTCAAAGAGTGTCAAGGATGTCTAATGTTGGTGATAGTGTTGTTGTGAAAATAGTAAGAGGACACAAGTTCAAGAAACATTTCAAGTCAGGATTTGTGGTATCCAAGTGTTATGGTGAGTTCCCACAAATCAAAGTCATCGAATCGTTCATCGAGAGTGTCGTAAGTGTTGATCAAGTTGTCCCAGACCTTTCCTGAGAGGGGAGGGTTGTGAGGTTGTTCCTGGTATAGGACAACTCCACCCAAACTCAACAATAGTGTGCTCCTGCACATGGACTCATAGGCTGTGACACGTGATCAGATTTCAATTGTAATGAATCTCGTCTTTGTCCTTGTCCTTGTTAAGTAAACGTCTTGTATTTGTACATCTGTGTTGTGTGTTATGTGGTCTTCAACCTTACATTGTCAATTTGAAAATTTTAACTATAAATTGTATATTTATATTACTTGTCCTATCTCACGTCTAGTATTCGCGCTCTCTCACAATCGACAGCCGAATGGAAACTAACTGCAAACGAAGTCTCTTATACCTTCGCCCGAACGCACCCTTACTGGTCCCATTTCTGGACAGCCTGGTAGCCTCCCGAGAAGCACGCAGAATGCCCTCTGGTTGATCATGTGACTCCTTTATCTAGTCATTCTGTTTTTGGAGCCAATATCGTAATCTGTGTAGTGGGCTAGGTCAGGTGGGAAACCTTTATGTGAGATAGGATAAGTATTATAAATATACAATTTATAGTGAAAATTTTCAAATTTTGAAACTTATCCTATCTCACATCTTGTACTTATCCGACAGTTGGACTGTGGGCCGCAAATTACCTTGTGTCTGTAGAGGATACAACCGTGGTGATGTGATGGCGATGCACAAAGAGGCCTGTTATGAGCACAATCTCTGATTGACTACGGAACTCCTCTACTTGTGATGGGTTGCTTCTTCCAAAACCCCTTGGCTTACTCAGCACAAAAACTCACAAGGAGTAAGCGCTCTAGAGTAAATGTCATTTTCCACAGTACATTTGTCATTCGACAAATGCGGAACTCAATAAGTGAATCGCCTTGCCCAGATTTCAAGAAGGCCCCAGTAAATTAAAGAGTTGCAACCTTAATCTGGCTAGCCCCTGCTTTGAAACAGTCCCCACAGTCATCATGCAGATGAAAGAGAAAAAGGTTAGCTCAATTGTTTTAAAGTTCAGTTCCAAATGACATCGAATGACCTTCGCTCCATTGCTTAAGCTTAGTCAAGTCCTTCATATCAAATGTAGATCAGATGACTGGACAGCTTAAGGTTGTCTGCAATCCAGGCCATCATAATAGCTCAGTCAATGTAGTCGATATTCCCCTCCGGAGTAGATATATTTTCCAAGTAAGAAGGTGAAGGTGAGGCAGTTTGTCGAATCCTAGTATATGCAACTGGAGAGTTTGGAGGTAAGGCTTGAGGTCTTCCTGGCTCGCCAATCCGGTCATTGTTCAGCTCGCTGCACCTTCCTCCATGCAGCAGACATGGCTCATAATATGTCAAAATCCTGGGAGGGATTGGAATGGTAGAACAGGAGTAGACCGTTGAACTGAAGGAGATTGCTGAACCAGGAGAGATCACCGAAACAGGATAGCTCCTCGAACAAGATCGGATCGCTGAACCAGGGTAGGTCGCCGAACTCACTTAGTTTGCCGAACCTAAATGTTGGTTCAGAAGAGGCCCTGAGTTTACCACACCCGTCAGACAAGTTCGCCGATGAATGATCATAGGGATCTTGAAACAGATGGAGTGAGTGAGTGAGTTTAGTTTAACTTCGCACTCAGCAATATTCCAGCTATATGGCGGTGGTCTGTAAATAATCGAGTCTGGACCAGACAATCCAGTGATCAACAGCATGAGCATTGATCTGCGCAATTGGGAACCGATGACATGTGTCAACCAAGTCAGCGAGCCTGACCACCCGATCCCGTTAGTTGCCTCTTACGACAAGCATAGTCGCCTTTTGTGCCAAGCATGGGTTGCTGAAGATCTATTCTACCCCAGATCTTCACGGGTCTGAAACAGACGGAGATGGAAGTTAGGCCATCACTGTCAGTGAGGGCTGATCTGGAGCTTTCATCGAAGACGGGATCGTCACAACAGATCAGTTCGTCAAGGGCTCTTGTCGGTTTAGCAAACACTGAATAACCACACCTTTAGAGGCAATCGTAGGCTTGGTGTTCAGTGGCGTTTGGGAATCAGAGAAGCGAAACAAATGTCTGAGGGTCTCACAAAGATATGAGTCGGAACAGGCCTTCAAAAATTCTTCTCGCTCAGCGAGAGATGAGGTAGATTTCCGCGCCTTCTTCACAGGCCGATCTTTTCTGGGCTTCCTGGATGAAGAAGGTCCATACTCCTCCGACTTATGTCTGGAGTCCCGGTCCGCAAGGCGTCGGGACCCCACCTTCTTGTATTCAGCAAACTTTTCATCATTTAAATTGCTGCAGAGACTGCATCTAGAGTCCCGGTCACTAGATGCAAGACGAGTGTGGTGAAAAGTGGAGAAGGCCTTCTTATATTGTTGACAATACAGTCGAGCACCGTTGTCTTGATATACATGGGACCAAGAAAAAATATCGAGTTATCCGAACTTCGACACATCCGACCAGGGCATATCATCACATATCACTGTGAAAGAATACAAAACAAAAAGTAGATTTCATGTATATATATTTGTATATACATTATTACTCACAGGGATCACAGTCACACACGATACACCTCATGTTACAGTGTCCATCTTGAATGATACCTCATCTCGCCCTCCATCTCTCGATTTCACAAATCTTGTGAACGCATCTGCCGTTCTCAATTGCGATTACACAAAACCCTCATTGGATTCTCAGTATGTTTTGATTCGAAACTATAATCTGTTATCAGTAGTGTTTAGTCGTAACAGTGAATACTTCCTAATTAATTCCTTCTTAATTAATCCTAATTAAATAACAAACAAGTGACACCTTCAACTCAATTAACCCTATTTAGTTTACATTACCGCATCCCTTTCATTCATGCTGCACCGTGTGTAAACATGTGGAAACAACCTCAGTTCAGAGGGATACTTGCCCATGAAAGGTAGGTAAATATCGAGTTGCTTTTTAAATTTCGTGAAAAGGGTAATTTTGCTTGTTGGGACCATGAAAATATATCGAGATATCCGAAATATCAAGACATCAGTATCGAGTTAAAAGAGCTTGAATAATGATAAATTATGAAGGATTCTGCCGCGACCGAGATGTTATATCGAGACAACCGAGATATTTAGTTATCAGAGTTCGGTGCGGTGCTCGACTGTATTTGCTTTTCCTTGAAGAAGAATCTGCTTTGCCCATGGTGGAATTAGGGATTCAAAGTGAAAAACTTCAACAACAGCATGTCTGCAGGACAGCTGAAAGAGAATGACTAGACAAAGGAGTCACATGATCAACCGCAGGGCATGCTGCATGCTTCTTGGGAGGCTACTTGGCTGTCCACAAAGGGGAGCAGTAGGGGTGTGTTCAGGTAAATGCTACAAGAGAGGCCAAAAACTTTGTTTGCAGTTTGTTTCCACTCAGCTGTCGATCTGAGAGAGAGAGTACAAGACGTGAGACAGGATAAGTTTAAAAACTGATGATGTAGTACATGACCATGTTTTCCCATGAATCTATAGTGAATTCTTTTTTCAATCATCTGGGTCGTTGGCTGTATCTTTTCCTCCTCCTTCCAATACAAAAGAATTGTAGGTCCTTTTAGCATACAAAAAAAATAGAAATGGAGTAAAACAAGTCCATGCAAAAAGTGCAGTATGTTTACCTTCTCAGTTTTTTCCAGTTCAGCCTTGGCAAGTTTGTTCTGTGGATCAAGGTTAAGAATTCTCTGATAATCAGTCCTTGCTTCCTCAAGCTTGGACAGGCCCACCAAGGCTGATGCCCGACGCATATAAGCTTTAATGTACATGGGGTCAAGGGAGATGGCTGTTGTTGCATCTACTTCAGCTGCTGCAAACCTGAAAAGTAACAACAAAACATTAAAACTGAAACAGACCCATTAAATGCCATTAATACACAATGGGATTTGATAATTAATCAAGCCAAAATATTTTTCCTCAAACACATTCATCATATGTTTGGAGTAAATCAGTTTCATCAAATTGAAAATGATATATGAAACTTGTCAAGCTAAGCAATAGTACTTGGTATTTGTGTCTTCTTTCCTACAGAATGTACTAAAAAGTCCTGGAACATATTGTCATTTTGCTGTAATGTTTAACCCCCTGGATGCCACAGGGACATATATGTCCTTCCTCTGCAACCCTCACTTTGAAGTCAAATAAAACAAAAAAATATATCACGCACACAAATACACATCACATGTACAGTTTTGAATTCTGCGGGAGATTTTCTGTTTCTTGATACCATCCACTATTATCGCAGAAACTGACCTTTCAAAATAGGCTTCATTGTAAATGTCACCATTTCGGACACATTACGAAATTGCGATTCACAGCATTGGTGTATGTTTTGAAATGTAAAAATCGATTAATTACTTTGAGTATTGAATTTCAAAAATAGCAAATTAATAATCACTGATATCAGTTTTTCATCAAGCACTAATGGTAATTCTGAAACGTTGCCGTTGAACCCAGAATCAGTTTGGTTGTTTTAACAAATACACTGACACGAACCACAAAGTGCACTTTCCTCCATATTGGATAGTGATCACAAAATCTCGTTTCGGTATTGTAAACCTTGGCTGGTATTGAGATGCCAATTACATCACGTATATTTCATATTCAGCTGCAATAAATACAGTAGTATAGGAAATGATAGTCCGAGCTCGTGTAGGTGCACCATGCCTAGAAGCTCCATACTAGCCAATTCGGCCCCCACAGCCACAAAAAAAATCGAGTTTTACATAAAACTAATACTGAAGACGAAAAGTGTCCCAACGCAAGTGGACTTGAATTAGAGATATGCGGGTGTACGGATATAGAAAAAAAATGTCAGGAACCAAGCTGTCACGAGAAGCCTATGCCGAGATCCGATCAGGTCATTTGTCCTTTCGGGAAGTGAAGAGAAAGTACCACATATCGCAAGCCCGATATACACGAATCTGAGGTGGTATAGACCCCGAGCCACAGAAAAAGACGACAACTTCCAACATGGCAGAAGTCTTCAAGACCCTGCTGGAGAAGTGTCACCATGTCTTGCTTTCCAACTGAGAGAAACAAATCCTGGAGCAATCGGGACACACCTTCTACGAGCGATACCAGATCCCTCGCCAGTTTCTCGAACTCTATTTGCTGTGCTTTCGCCAATTTGTAGAAGACGGCAAAATAGTCGCTTTGGTCTACATCTACCCACCCAACCAATTTCGACCCGCAGCAGGCAAACTCTGGATTGTTCTCGCCGCCGACTACTGCCCAGAACCGAAGGACAGACACAACCGATGAACCAACTGCCTCGCCCCTATATCGGAACTCCCCACTCTCTTCGAACCAGACAACTCTACATGCAAGTGTGGCGCCATTGGCAGCAAGAAATGCATTCTCTGGAAAAAGAAAGTGATAGACACCACACCCCAGGAGCGACTCCCACTCGAGGTTCCCGAAGAAATCGCGATCCACTACTGTTTCTTGAACATAGAGAACCTGTACGACAAAAACTGCCTCTTCTGGTGCCTGCGATACTAACGCTTCCTCGACAAATTGGTGGACAATTGTCCATGCGAGAAAGATTCTTGTATGTGTATCCAACATGAAAACGGTCTTCCCACAGCCCGTCTGCCTGCACACTATGGCGCAGTGCGGGTCGCGGGGTAGATTAATAGATGGCTTGCACGAATCTCCCATTGTCTATATTAAGTTGCGTGTCCATAATCACGTACAGATATAATTTCAACTTTCCCGCGGGTTGAGCCTTCTTGGTAATCTGGATGGTTATCCCCTTGCTGCCGTTGTCGACGCGGCGACCGCTACCGTGCAATTGATCGTCGTCCGTGGATCGCATGTCCAACCATAGCGCGTACTTGGTGGTCAGGTATTCACCGATCTGCACGGAGGATAGGTCCAGGTCCTTGATGACGTGTTGGTGTCTGGTCGGTAGTTTCGTTATCTCGTCCCACTGCTGGTGTGCCCTCATACCGGCGCTGAACAGCTGGTTGGGCATGCCCTCGATGGTCACTTCCACCTTTTCAATTGCGGGGTTGAAAAACTTCTCGCTGTCCCTTCGGAACGGCTCGTAATCCTCCACGGGGACGACCAGGATGCCTTTCATCGATCGCGCCGGCACGTTTAGGTTGATATTCCACAGGTTCTTATCCCGTGCGATCGCTCTATGCCGCAGGACCCTATCGTAGAGGATGGCCTCCTTCCCCGAGTACTGGTTTCGAACCTGCCTTGCCAGCTCAGGGCTTGTGACCATGTCGAACTCCAGAAAGATGTTGTCGATGGCATAACTGGCCTCATCACCGTTCGGCGTACGCACAACTTTGCTGTAGTCGTTAAACGTGAGCTCGTATTCAAGCCTATCCCCCAGCGCGGCCTGGTAAAACGGCTCGTGTCCCGTGAGCATCTCGAAGTCGAGCGGCACGCAGAACCTGTTTACGTACGCTTCAGCGATGGCCTTTTCACCCTCTGAGATCTTGTCTAGCTGGCCTTGCGTGAAGCCGTACCCCACGCGCAACCTAGTCGATTTGCTGATACCTTGGTACGCGTCATTGACGCGTTCTCCCTCTCTTTTCCAGAGGTTCCCGTAGCAGTAAAATATGTCGCTGTCGTCGATGCCCAGCACCTCGTTGCCGCTGATCTTGATAGTGGTTTTCTTGATGATTGCTCGACCTACGTTCCGCACGAGCTCGCGTTTGTCGTTGTCGGAAGTCAACGTGAGGTTGAACGTCAGTCGAACCGTGCCTGGTACGATGAGGTCGTTCTCACCCAGGTTTGGGAATCTAACCAGCAGCGTTTGGTTCTGGTCTATCATGCTGGGATTGTCGGTGATGGTCACCGACTGGCGCACGGCTCTGACGCCTAGAGGCTCTCTTGATCTTCGGAAAGGATCTAGTTTCCTACCATACATTGTTATATAGATAAAATATAAAAGTTTAATATAAATAATGGCTGAAGGCGGCCATGAGGACATCCCGATGGATGATATGTGGGATGATAGAAATGTACTTGAATTCTACATCAGCCCTCATATCTATTCCTCATATGACGTCACAGAGATGCGCCGCTCTGATTGGTTGAAATTTCGTTCGCAGGTGAGAATTGTGCACTGTTGTCAAAAAGGTCTATTTAAGTTAATTAAAGATCGAAATGAGTAGTTTTAATGACGGGGTTTCATTTATAACGATGCCAATTAGTGATTTATGTATTTGTATCCCCCTAGAGTATATGTGATCTTTAAGGCAAAGTCTCCTAATTAAGTGACAAACAGAGTGGGTTGGACCAGCATCACTAAGAGTGAATAAAAAGCTATTGTATTTGTATTTGCTGGAGGAACTACGGTACAGGTCCAAGGGCCCTCGGGTACTGAAACTACCTCTCTCGCACATCCCAAATCGTCAGGACCGAAGTATGAGGGTATACCGTAGTTCAGGTAAAGGAATGCCATCCCAGGTGTGGGATACTGACAGGTAAAAGAACAACTACCGTCACGAAAGGGCGTTGGAAGAGGCTTGGACACGTGGCTGCAGATGCAGATTAAGATCTCCAAAGAGAGGTACATTGGATATTACAGAATTGTGTCGTAGCTGTATCAATGGCTGTATGGATAACAGAGTTGTGAAGATCGGATGGTGTAAGATCCACCTGAGAGGTACAGTCGACAGTTTAGCATTGTGCAGCGATGGAACTAACAGCTGTATGAATAACTGTGAGAAGTTAACACCTGACATAACAGAATTGTGCCCCAGTGGCATGAATAGCGGTGCAAATAACCACGAGCTGTGGGGACCTGTGACGACACAAAGTGGTGTAAGTGTTGCTGAAAATATGGTGGGGTTGGCCTGACTTGGTCAGTGTGGTAAACATTTGTGCTGCAGTAACTTTAGTTGTGGTGTTAATAACGTAAACTCCAATAGTAGAAGAAACTGTGTCATTCTGACATAAGCTGTTGTGTTAATATTCTAGGTGTTGCATCAACTTGGGCGGTTGTGTGAAAAATCATGCCCTGCTGACATAACTTTTAATCAGAGGTGGCAACAACAAGAGGCGATAGCGATTCTGTAAACTGCGAGAATATTGCTTCCAGTCGTACAGGATACTTTGGCATTCTTGCAAACGCAGTCCTTGCATTGTAGGTAGCCAAACACGTATATACATTGTCTACAAATGTAGGTAGGCCTTCCAAAGGTTGTAGATTTGTCGGTATCTAGCACAAGATTGCTTTCTACAGTATTTTCTAGAAGTAGACAGGCTTTACGATGCTTCTATGCGTGGAGAGAAAAAATGACATCGGAAAGTGGTCCAAAGTGCATTGAAACATGGACAAAAAGCTCTTTCCCCATTGCTTTAAAGGAGAATACGAACGAAAACAAAACTTTTGATATATTGTAAATGATATTCTAAAAGTCCCCCTCCGTGATTAAAATTGAACAAACAGTTTTTAAAATAGCAATAAAACAAAAAAAAACATACTCGTATATCCACCTATTACGTGTATCACGTGACATGACGTCATATGTGCCTGCTGCCGATGGCTTCCTCTTTGATTTTACCTCACAACTTAACAGTGTCCATGGATTCTGTAGCAGTAAAAGATGTTCCTGATGTCATTTTGAAATTGATGTTAGACTGTATCAATACGACCTCATTTTACATCTTGCAAGACAATCTTCCAGTGAAGATGAAGAAGAATCAAGCAAAACGGAGGCACCGCTTGAGTTCAAAATAAATTTAAAAATAGACCATATCGTTTAACAAGAATACTATTTGTAAGCAAAATGTGATACAGTTCCAGCCAGCAAACCCACCCATATAAATGACCAGTCCCTAAGAATTATATT